CCTCCATCCTAGGAGGATGCCAGCGGTCCTTGCTCTCCTAACTTCTTCCCTTGAGGCAAGGTCTTCTCACTACTTCTGGAGCTAGACTCCCAGCCCGCAAGTCCCGTCAATTCTCCTGTTTCACCCTCCTGTGTCCACCCCATTCACAACATGGGTTGAAGGCACAGCCCACCACACTACCAAAAAACACTGGTTTTTTGTTTTTACAAACACAGGACTCTAGGGGTTTGAACTCTGGTCCTCCTGCTTGTGCAATTACACCAAACAGATCTCCCTAGTTCCGTGGTTTAGGTTTTAGACTGGATTTTAGACTTGGGTTTAGTCCTGGAGAATTGGCATAATCAAATCCTGTCTCAGAAAGAGGGAGAAAGATTTGTTTCTCCAGGGCTGCTTAAGGATGAGGGAGTGTTACGCCCAAATCTGTGGGTCCCCACAAAAGCCAACAAAGGAGACCGAGTCCCATATGTAAAAGCAAAGAGCCTTTATTTTAATCAAGTTTGCAAACTCGGTCTCTCCGCATTGGAATAACCTGAGAGCCCCAAGCTCAATTAGAATTGGGGTTTTATAGTAGTAAAGGTGGGGGTGAGGAATCTCTGAGGTCCAGGACCCCTGATTGGCTGACATTTATCTAGGGGTGTCCTGGTGAAGTGCTGGCAGGTGTTTCTATTTTACAGTGCTTGGAATGCCAGCAATTTCCTTTGAATGGTCTGCTCTTGGGTGGACATCAGGTAACCTCGGCCTGCCAGGCATTGTCTCAGAGTAAACTATTGAGACTCCAGACTCCATTTAAATTATCAATGGCCAGAGTCCCCCGTGATAATCGTTGGAGGAAGTAAAGAACTTTCTTTCTGCCCAGACTTAGATTACCCTGGCTGGCCCTCACAGGAGCACAGGAAGAGAGTGGTCTTTGGTCCCCAGCTGGTGGCACTATTGAGGAGTAATGGGGTCACAAAAGCACTAACTTCATCAATGGATCAATCAGTTGATAACTGATGGATGAATGGGCTGTTAGGCATTGGGGTGCAGCTACAGGAAGTCGGTCACTGGGGGTGTGTCTTCTGGGTTTTCTCCTTTTACCTGATCAAACGCAGGTTGTTAGACTTTCTTTTCTTTCTTTTTCTTGGGGGGTAGTTTGAGACAGAGTGTGCGCCACCACTACTGAGCCCAGCAAGATTTCTTATTCAAACCATCACATTATGAAAGTCTAACAACCTGAGCCAGGCACTGGCGGCAGGTGCCTTTAATCCCAGCACTCAGGAGGCAGAGGCAGGAGGATCTCTGTGAGTTCAAGGCCAACCTGGTCTACAAAGTGAGTTCCAGGACAGTCTCCAAAGCTACACAGAGAAACCCTGTCTTGAAAAAGAAAGAAAGAAAGAAAGAAAGAAAGAAAGAAAGAAAGAAAGAAAGAAAGGAAGAAAGGAAGGAAGGAAGAAAGAAATCACACTGGGTGATGGTGACCTTTAATACCAGCACTCAGGAGGTATAGGCAGGCAGATCTCTGTGAATTCAAAACCAGCCTGATCTACAAAGTGAGTTCCAAGGCTGTTACAGAGAAACCCTGTCTTGAAAAACATAAAAAAAGAAAAGAAAGAAATGTCCCCTATGGGCTCGGACATTTGAATACTTGTCCTCAGTTGGTGGGTCTGTTCAGAGGAGGGCTATGCAGCTGAAGGAAGGACAACACTGGCCTTGGGAATGTAAAGCCCCTCATCCCATTTCCAGTTTCTTTTTCCTTGGAGATGTAATATCTCAGCAACCTGCTCCAGCCAGCATGAGTTCTATGCCTTCTCTCCATGAGAGACTCTTATCCATTGAAGCCATAAACCCCAATAAAGCTTTTCTCCTAGCCTTGGTCACAGAGTTTTAGTCACAGCAACAGAAAAGGCAACACATATGGCAAGCCCCTTTACCCACCAAGCCATCTTACTGGCCCACGTGTCTCCCCCAGGGCTTTGCACTTGATAGGCAAGGGTTCTATGATAAACTGCATCACCTAAACCTCCAAGATGAGGGCCAGGGTGTCAATATGTAGCCCAAGCTGGTTTCAGACTTGAGATCACCTCTTTTAGTCTCCCAAGTGCTGGGATTACCGGTAGCAACCACCACAGCTGGCCTTGGAGAGGGGCCTGATTTACATTCTCTTGGGTCCTCAAATCCTAGAACAGTGTTTGTTTTAAGGTGGAGTCTCTCCATAGCCCTGAATGTCCAGGAACTCATTATGTAGATCAAGCTGGTTTTAAACTCACAGAGACCCACCTGCCTCTAAAAGCACCCCATCCCCCAACTATCTGTTGGTTATTTGAAATAGGATCTCCTGGTCTCTCCATAGCTCAAGGTGGCCTCAAACTCCCTGCATAGTCCAGGCTGGTCTTAAACTCCGGCTCCTCCTACCTCTGTCTCCTGGATCCCGCATTAAAGGAGTGTGCCACACACCCGGCCAGTTATTACTTTCCAACTCTCCTTGTGATAATAAGTATCTGTAGACACTTCTAAGTGAGTATTCAGGACAGGTTCACAGACGTGAACTGGCTGGGTAAACATATGCAAGCTTTACATTGAAATGAAAAACAACAAACTTATTTTTGTGGGTGGAATAGGATTGGTTGGCAGCCTGCTTGGTTGCTGTGAACCAATGCATTATTCTTTCTGTTCTGTGAGTTCACATGAGATGCTCAGTGAGGCAGAACAGAGAGAGAAGCATGGGAAGTAGCAAGGGACCGAGCCACGTGGACGCTCCCTATCAGGTGAGGAACTAGACTATGTGTTGAGGGCACTGGAGAGCCACAGCTGGCTAGAGGTGGAAGAACAATAGTCTTGAAAAGGCTGGAGGACGGCGGGAGGAACAGACACCAGATGGCCACCTCCCTCTCTTAAGCCCTGTTCTGACCTGGCCCTCGCCTCTCTGCTCCCCTCTTACCCAAAGGCACTGGTCTCTGGGCAAGAGGCCAGAGAGGAGAAACCTGTCAGGCCAGCCCAGGCTGTCTCCACCAAGCCACACTGCAGTCAGTCCAGCTGAGCCACTTAGCAGGTATGTGGCCTGGAGCAGTCAGTAAGGGTGGTAGCAGACCTAGGACAGAAATCAGGTCTGCCTACCTGACTCCCTCCCCCAGAGGACAGATTCACCCCAAGCTCCCGAGGCCTGGCCTGTCTGAACTGCTTTAGGGCAAGTTCAGAAATGCTTAGCAGAGTAATTCTTCCCTTCGTGGACCTTCAGCACAAAATACCAGCAGTGGCATATTTTTTAACTTTTTAAAACTTAAATGTTTGGGACTGGAGAGATGGTTCAGTGGGGGGAAGGGCTTGCCGCTCAGTCTTGTGGACCTGAGTTTAGATTCCCAGCACACGTGCAAAAGCTGGGCCTGGATGCATGTGTGCAGCTGTGGTGGGTGAAGACGGAGCAGCCAGCCAGTCCGGCAAACAGTGAGCTTCAGGGTCAGTGAGAGGAGACCCTGTCTCCAAAATAAAGTGGAGAGCGACCAGGAAGACTGCCAACATCCACACAGCCAGCATTAGACAGGTGGGGGTGGCACACGCCTTTAATCTCAGTACTCGGTGGCCAGAGGCAGGCGGATCTCTGTGAGTTCGAGGTCATCGTGTTCTACAGAGTAAGTTCCCGGACAGGCTCCAAAGCTACAGAGAAACCCTGTCTCAAAAAACAAAAGAAGAAAAAAAGAAACTCTGTCCCCCCAAAATAAAAAATAAATACATTTTTAAAAATAGTAAAAAGAAAACAAACAAACCCTGAAACAATTAGGTCTTGCGCTATGAGACAGTGACTATTATAATCCCCATTTTGTAGATGACACAGTGAGGCTCGGACTGTTGTGGGGGGCTGGGGAGAGCCTCTCCCAGAGAATCCCAGCCGCATGCTAAGTCACAGTGAACATGCTCAGGAGGACGTCTGCTAAGATCAGAGCAGCACGGAACACCCCGTTTCCTTGATGTGGTCACAGGTTAGTCAGACATGTGCCTAGAGGTGGGGACAGTTTCCTACTAGCGACTACAGAGAAGCCGGCTCAGCCAGTCAGCGAGCTGAGCCTCCTCTCGTGTATTAAAATCTGGAACATATCACATCTCTGTGGTGTTTTGAAAATTCTGATTTGAAGGCAGTCATAGTGATGCGTATCTGTAATCCCAGCACTCAGGAGGTAGAGGCAGGGGCATCAAGTGTGATGCTAGTGGCACAGTGACGCAGAGGGGAAAGAGGACCTGAGTTCAGATCAGTAACCCCAGCGCTGGAGTGGGCAGAGATGGGAGGAATGCTGGGGCTTGCTGGCCAGAAAATCCAGCCTGAAAAATATGTTGGGCTCATGGTTCAGTGAGAGACCATGTCTTAAGGGAATAAAGTGAGACCCAGAGAAAGACAGCTGACCTCCTCTGGCCTCTGAGTGCGTGTGTGTATGAGAGAGCACGTGCACACATACGCACACATACACGCCCACACAGAGCCTGGACTATACAGTGAGACTATGTCTCAAAAAAAAAAAAAAAAGAAAAGAAAAAGAAAAAATAAAGAAAAAAAGAAAAGAAAAATTCAAAGTGTAAAATCTGATGTTCTCAGAGGAGTCTTCTCTGAGAGTGAAGCCAGTTTCCCATTTTGAATCAACGGCATGAGCCAATATATCCCATGTGATGCTTCCCCCATGCCAGCCGGATTTCACCACTTCCTTCTGAAGTGTTACTCACTCACCCTTGTCCCCAAAAGAAAACAAAAGTAGGCTGGGGGGAGTGTTGCATGCCTGGAATACCAGCATTCTAGAGGTGGAGACAGGAAGGGGAGGTGGTTGTGGCTCGCACCTGTAATCTTCTCCAGGGGCCGGGGGTGGGGGGGCACACAGCGAGATCATCTAGGCTAGCCTCGGGTACATATAAATTCCAAAGCCTGTCTGGGCTGCAGAGTAAAACCCCCATCTCCAACAACACAGAAGAAGAGGCTTGTGTTTATTTAGTCAGCCAGTATTTATTGGCTATCTGACCCATGCTCAGACACATGCTGGGTGATCAAGAACCACAGTGACCATAGCTGATCTGCCCCTCCCCTCACAGCAATCTAGGTCTGTTAGAGCTTCTACAAACTACTGAGCAGCAATGGCTATGCCTGCCCTGCAAGATGTTCTGGAAGGCACAAGAGAGGTGCATGATGGGTTGTCAGGAACAGAGGCAGGGCCTCCAAGGACAGGACATTTCATTGTCACCAGAAAGATAAAGAGATCAACCAAATGCAGTGCAACGTGGCCAAGAGGGTTCAGGCACACAAACCCAGGCCTGGGGCACAGCTAGGGCCCAGGGCAGCTCCTACACCTACGAAGGGACTTTGGGATTGCAAGAAGGGAAGATGGAGGGAGGTAGACATGGGTGAGCTGTGGCTGAGGTACATGGGGCTGGGGGTGGGGGAAAGGCCCAGGTGCAGCTGAGAGGCAGGAGCTTCAGACAGAGGTGAATATACGGCCTCCTCTTCATCTTCAGAGAGTGGTATAGAAATACATGGCCACCAGCATCACAGGGAGCTAGGTGGGCAAATGACGAGATTGGGTGCTCTAGCTCAAACCACCAGCCTCCCCCAAGCCCACACCCACACCCCTGGACACCCACAGGTCCCTCCTCCACAGCCCCAGGTGCCCCATCTCTCACTGTCCACATCAAGATGGCGAAGCCGAACCATGATATGCCCCAGGTGTAGCTGTCAATGGCATGACCGATGTGCTCAAAGCAACCCTGGAGAGAGGGACGGTAGAGGCTTGTAGCTATCGTGGGAGGGTGGTGGGTGAAAGTCACCATGTGCTCCGGGAGACATCCCTTTCTTCCCTTTCTTTGCCTTGGTTTTCCCATCTGTGTTGTGGGTTTGCAGCCATGTTTGCCTTCTTAGGGAAGCCAGGAGAGGGATCACTGAACCCAGGGCCGGGGCCAGCAGGTGCTGCTGGGATGGCAGCTGTCAGTCTGGGCTTGCTTGTGTCCCACCTGGCTTTCTATGCTACCCACAAGCCCTAAGCGTTTGAAATCCAGATCTGTTTGTCATTTGCTCCTGGTACCTGCTCACTAGAGACAAGGTTGAGCCAGGCCAGAGCCCTGCACCAAGGTCACCTTTCTGGCTCCTGTTCCAGCCACAGAGCAGCTGAGACTACAGGTCCAGAGTGCGCCTGGCCGGTGCAACCAAGCCTGGGACTAGCTCTGCTCCTTGTTAGTAGAACACAGGCACAATTCTGGTTCTCTGAGCCCCAGTTTTCCAACCTGCTAAGTGGCAGTCTGGATTCTGAGGTCCCTGGGATATGGAATAATCTGGAATAATGGAAGGTCCCTGGAATAACGGAAGAACATGCATGGGACTTTGGCTTGAGAATGGGCTGTCCTAGTCTGTCCTTGGGGATGGGGTATCCTGGGACAACTCCCTTCCAGACCTGATAGAAGACTTGTAGCCACAGATACAAGTGGGACCAGGTCTCGTCTTAACCCCCCTACCTCTTGCTTATGCCCCTGCCCTGCCCTGGCCTCCCTGCTTTGCCCCCACAGGGACGAACCTCTTCCTCTGTGGAGTGTCAAGCAGGGCCATCGTCATCTTTTCCCCATGTGACTGTGATGAGCAGCCGCAAACCGAAGGGAAGGCTCCCCGTGGGTCCTTACTGCTGGCTGTGCTACCGTTAGGATAGCAGCAGAATTTTCCATTTTGTTAAGTTTTGGTTAAGACAGGGTCTCACTGTACAGCCCTCTCTGACTTAGAATTCATTACGTAGACCAGGCTTGCCTTGAATTGCTTATTATTGTTATTATTTTGAGGCACTATGTAGTCCTATCTGACCTAGAACTTGCTATGTAGACCAGGCTGGACTTGAATTCATAGAGATCTGTCTGACTGGGGTCAAACCCAAGCACCGCCACACTTCACCTGCTATTATTATTTTTTTCTAGGTATTTATTTATTTATTTATTTTTAGACAGTGTTTCCCTGTGTAGCCCCGACTGTCTTGGAACCCACACTATAAACCGGGCTGGCCCTGAATTTACAGAGATCCTCCTGCCTCTGCCTCTCGAGTGCTGGGATTAAGTGTATGCCACCATGCTCAGTTGTCATTATTTTCTGAGACAGGGTCTTGGTTATATTGCCAAGGCTCAAACTGGCAGTGGTCCTCCACAATGGAGATTACAGATGTGCACCACATGATTGATTTCAGCTGTTATTTTTTAATATTAGTGGTACTAGGAGTTGAATCCCAGGCTTCTCACATGCTTAGGAAAGTGCTATATCACTAAACCACGTCCCAGCCCCTGACTGGGGGATTCTAGGCAGGGGCTCTACCACTGAGCCACACCCCAGCCCCTCACTGGGGGATTCTAGGCAGGGGCTCTACCACTGAGTACTCTCCTTGGCCTTCTTTTTACTTCTGAGACAGGGGCTCCTGAAGTTGCTCAGACTGGTCATGAGCCCAGCCTGACTGAGGTCATGAGTTGAGCAGGATGACAGGCTCTCATGCAAGGCCTAGCTCCAGCAACTAGCTAGGTCCTCTTGGTGCAGACATCAGGTCTGAATCAGAGTGTCTGTGCGTCCTGCTTACTCACACAAAGAGCTGGGAGGACCAGGGAAAGAAAGAAAAGGCCAGACAGCAGAGGCTGGAAGACAGATGGACAGACAGACAGTTGAAGGGGGAAAGGGAGAACAGAACAGATGGACAGACAGACGCAGAGGGCAAAGGGACACACCTTGGTAAACAGGTAGTCCATGTGGCCCACTCTGCAGCCCTCTTCATTGATGGGGATGAAGTTCCCTGTCCGGCGACAGCACAGAGGAGGCCAGGGGAATTCCACTTCTGGAGTGGCTGCCCGGAAGGCAGATGTGTAATTCACCCAGTCAAGGGGGCCAGATGTGCCGCAGCATTCTTGCTGTGGAAAGAACAAAGTTTAGGCAGGACTGGGCTGTGGTCATACTGTTAAAGAGAGGCAGATTGACTTTAGGCACAGCTGGTCCCCATGTGTTAGAGCCCCGGGCTCTAGTGTGTGTGTGTGTGTGTGTGTGTGTGTGTGTGTGTGTGTGTAAGGCTGATAGATTTGGCCCAAGCCTACACTCATTTTCTTCTAAAATTCTTTTGTTGATAACTGTGCTGACAAAATGACACAAAAACTAGATGGAGTGGGGTGGCATTGCTGGGAGACAGCCCAGCAGTTAAGATGCTCTTCAAAAGGATCCAGGTTCAATTCCCAGCATCCATGTGGAGTGGCTCACAACCACCTGTAACTCCAGTTCCAGAGAATTTGATGTCCTCTTCTGACCTCTGTGGGTACCCCCACACACGTCTACACATACACACACATATTCACATTTAAAAAAATTAAATCTGGGCTGGAGAGATGGCTCAGTGGTTAAGAGCACTGCCTGCTCTTCCAGAGGTCCTGAGTTCAATTCCCAGCAACCACATGGTGGCTCACAACCATCTGTAATGGGGTCTGGCGCCCTCTTCTGGCCGTCAGCCATACATGCAGGCAGAACACAATACATAATAAAAAAAAATTAAATCTGCTGAGTGGTGGTGGCACACGCCTTTAATCTCATCGCTTGGGAGGCAGAGGCAGGCAATCTCAATGAGTTTGAGGCCAGCCTGCTGTACAAAGCAAGTTCCAGGACAGCTAGGACTGTTACAGAGAGAACCCCTATCTCGAAAAACAAACAAACAAGGAAAATAATAAACAACCAAAAAATTTAAATCAAATTTTCCAAAAGGCAGATTTATGATTTTTTTTTCAGCCCACTGAGTGGTTTGTTGCTGTTCTGGGGCCAGGGTCTCATGATGAACCCTAGTCTTAAACTGGTGGCAGCTTACCTCAGCCACCCAAGTGCTAGAATTCTAAGGCTTCACCACAATGCCCATCTCAAACGGTATTTAATCAGAAGCCCTTGGATGGACACCCTTCAACATGGTGTAGTTTCTGGGCTCCTGCATGACTTGGGCTGGGCTGGGATTCAGCAACTTCTTCCTACTCCACCTTCTTCTTCTGCAGTATTATGTTGGGTGCAATTAAGAGTTCAGCTTCTGAGTTAAGCAAGGCTGTGTTGTATCTCAGATCTGGAATCTCAGAACGGGAAGGTGGAAGCAGAAGCACCCGGATTCCAAAGTCATCCTTGGGTGTACAAAGAGTTCAACACCAGACTGGACTTCAGCAAACCCTTTGCTGTTGTTGTTGTTTGATTTTTTTGAGGCAGGGTTTCCCTGTGTAGCCCTGGTTGTGCTGGAGCCCAGGCTAGCCCAGGCTAGCCTTGAACTCACAAGATCTACCCACTGGGATTAAGGTATGAGCTAACTGTTCACTCAGCATAGTGAATCAGGGCTGTGATCCTAGCTAATCAGGAGATTAAGGCAGAATCACAAATTCAAGGCCTGCCTGGGCTACATAGTGAATTAAAGGGTAGTCTGGGTAGCTTATGGTGACCCCATCTCAAAAAGTTAAGAAAAAAAAAAGAGGGCTGGGAGGTTGGGTAACAAATAGCTAAGTGGTGGAGCCTTTGCCTCAAATGTATGAAGTCCTGGGTTGGGTTCCCAGCAACACACACACACACACACACACACACACACACACACACACATACCAGTGGGCTCAAGGTCAGCCTGCCTTACATCCTAAAGGTTGTCACTGTCACCATCACTACAATGGTTGGAGAATCACTGCAGAATCCACTGTCAGAGTCACAATGCAGGCCACCCTGCCACTTACCAACCTGGTGACGAGAAAGGAAACTTCTGGGTCTGTGGTCTACAAAACCATAGCAACCAAAGGCTCTCCTACCCCTCCTCGGTCCCCTGAGTGGATTGTCTTCTGAATATCCCCTCTGCCATCACTGAGAGATGATCACAGAGCCCAACCAACCTCAATCATGACCCGGTCCCAGAGGCGGGTTAGCTCCTGGCCCTGGTCGCTGTCTGCACTGTAGAAGGTCAGCATTTGCTTGGTGATCAGGGACGGGTTGGACACCATCTGAGGAAGGGGGGACAGGGAAGAGCAGGAGCCAGCTGGCTAGGGATGGAGGCCCACCTCCCCTGGACCCTTCCAGCTCTAGGGATGCCATTCCCCCCTCATCCCTTCCCGACAGGCTCACATAGTCTCGGTGGGTGTAGGATGTGATGCAGGAGGCACACTCGAAGATGTAGACTATGAGCATCAGCAGCAGGTACTGCAGAGAGAGCAAAGGCAGCCATGGCACAGAGGCCAGATGGAGGCCTTGCACCTCCTCCACAGTTAGCCAGGAAATCACTACATACAGAGCTGGATTCAAATTCACAGAAATCTGCCCACCCCCTCCTGCCACCAAGAGATGGAATTAAGTGTGTGTGGTAATGCACAGTCCCAAACAGAACTGTGGTTCAGCGGGAGAGTGCTACCTATTGTGTATAAGACTGTTTGCTGTGCCGTGGTGGCGTGCTCCTTTAATTCCAGCACTCGGGAGGCAGAGGCAGGTGGATCTCTGTGAGTTCGAGGCCAGCATGGTCTACAGAGCAAGTTCCAGGACAACCAGGACTGTTACACAGAGAAACCCTGTCTCAAAAAAGAAACAAAACAAAACAAAAGACTCTGGGTCGCCTTTCTGGCAATGTGCACACACGCGTGCACACACACATCAAATGGAGGATTTAATTTTGAAAGAAGTAGAGGTGGAAGACTGAAAACTTGAGACCAAGCTTGTCAGTGGTGGCACACACCTTTAATCCCAGTGCTAGTAGGGAGGCAGAAGCAGGCGGATCTCTGAGTTCTAGGCCAACCTGATCTACAGAGTGAGTTCCAGGACAGCCAAGGCTACATAAAGAAGCCTTGTCTTTGAAAAAAAAAATGGGGAGAAAGACAAGCCAGACATATTTTTTAAAAATGGTTAGGGGCCAGGAGTGGCAGTGCATGCCTTTAATCCCCAAACTTCAGAGGCAGAGGCAGGAGGATGTCTGTGAGTTTGAACCTAGGCTGGTCAACACAGGACAGCTCCAGGACAGGCAGGACTACATAGAGAAACCCTGTATCAAAAGAAACAACAAACAAAAACGGTAGTTAGGTTGACTTTAGGCTTTGATGAAATTGTTCTGCTAAATGTGTGATGGGGGGGTGGAGAATGGAAGGGAACAGGAAGAGAGGAGCTGGGTGTGGTGGTGCACACCTCAATCACTTGGGCGGAAGCAGCAGGTATCTGTGAGTAGCTTGGCCTACATAGTGGGTGTGGGGCCGGCCAAGCTACACAGTGAGACCCTGCATCAAAAGAGGGGGGTTGGGGGGGCGAGAGGAGGAAGGGAGTGGTGAGGAACTCCTTTCAATAACAGCTCCCTCTTCTACATAATAAAGCAAAGTGTCCCAAGCAGTTCCCCTCCCAGACCCTGCCCTGTACTGTTTTCTGACTGCCAGAGAGACGGCTGCCTCGCTCCGGCCACAGGACCTTTGTTCATGCTGCTTCCGCCACTCAGAACACACGTTCTCAGCGCGCACTGGGCTCACTGTCCCCCGCATGTTTTTCTTTGCTGCTGCTGGCTGTGGGTTTTCCTCAACCTACCCGGCTCCCTTCACTCCCCAAATCAAGGGCTTTTTAGTTGTGTTCAGAGCTTCTTGTTCAGTAAACTCTTGTTGACTACAGAAGTGATGGTCCTGGTAGCCTAAAGGACTCTCCGCAGGAGGGGAAACACGACACCTGCTCTCTCCCCAACACCTGGGAGAGGCCACAGTTTACCTCTTGGAGCTTCGGTTTCTCTGCCTGGTGAATGGGCTTAAAAGCACAATTTTACAAGGCTTCATAAGGACAGAGAGTTCATTGCCTAAACTGCTTGCTGCAAGGTCAAGGGCAGGGCAACCTGGGGAGGATTAAAAGTAGGGGTCTGGCAGTTCATTTCAAAGCAGGCCTGGTTTACACAGTAAATTCAAGGTCAGACAAAGCTTAGCTAGACCCCGTCTCAAAACAAAACAAAAAGACTATGGGCTTGGGTGGTGTGACGGCACACACCTAAAATCCTAGCACTTGAGAGGCTGAGGCAGGAGGATTGTCAGTTTGAGGGCAGCTGGGGCTACCTAGGGCAACTTTGTATTCAAAGGCAAATGAAAGCAGGGGCTGGAGAGATGACTTAGTGAAAGCCATGCAGAGGGGCTGGAGAGATGGCTCAAAGGGTAAGAGCACTGGCTGCTCTTCCAGAGGTTGAGTTCAATTTCCAGCAACCACATGGTGGCTCACAACCATCTGTACTGAAATCTGGTGCTCTCCTCTGGTGTGCGGGAATACATCGAGGCAGAATGTTGTATACATAATAAATAAATCTTTAAAAAAAAAAAGAAAGCCATGCAGGGGACCCGAGTTCAGTTCCCGGCTCCCCGTCAGCACCCCACAGTCAACTGTTACTCCAGCTTCAGGGCATCCAACTCTCTCTTTTGGTTTCCTTGGATACCTGAGCGAGTATGCACCTTGGGGCTGGAGAGGTGGCTCAGAGGTTAAGAGCACTGGCTGCTCTTCCAGAGGACCTGAGTTCAATTCCCAACAACCACATAGCGGCTACCACCATCAGTTTTAGGATATCTGATGCCCTCTTCTGGCCTGCAGGTGTACATGCAGAGTGCATAAAAATATATAAATAAAATTTAAAAAATGGAATAAATTTTAAACGAAAACTAGACTGGAGTCAAGAGCTGGCTTGTTCCAGCGTAACTGGGCTGTGACTTCCTCTCTGAATCTGTCAAATAGTGATGACAGTGGTGGTGGCGGTTCATCATAGGTCACATGACACGTATGCGCCAATCTGTGTAAAGGGCTGAGCTCTTGTTAAATGCTAGCTGCGTTATTACATTTCACTATTATTGCTACAACTCAGACCACAGACCTTGGAGACCGAATAGTCGGGTTTCAATTACCATTATTTTGTTGGGAATATATATAGAAATACATTTATATATTTACTTATTTATGTCACTTGTAGGAGTCTCTTTATAGCTGCCTTGACCATCCTTCTCCTCACTGTACCCCAGTTTCCTCTGTACAATAGGGGTGATGGCTGAAACGGAGGTATGGGGCCATGGCAGGGAAATGGTGCTGTGAGGCCCCCAGTGGGGGCCACCCAGAGTCATATCATGGCCCTCACTGTGACCTGCCATCCCCCACCTGGGATCTCACCGTGAGGATCATGGACCGACGGCGGCAGAGTGCGGCTCCTACACCAAAGCTGGCCACCACGAAGAAGGAGAAGCCGCAGAAGATAGCAATCCAGGCACCAGCGAAGACATCGTCCTTGCCTGAGACGCCCATCAGTGGGTACACACGGTACTGGTCAGCTGTCACCCACACTGTCTCGGCAAACAGGGCCAGGCCTGACAACTGGGCAGGGAAAGGTTAGGAACGTGTGCCTGGAGCCAGCAGTTGGGTTGTGTGAGTCTCCAAAACACACTTCTTTCCTGGCCCAGAACCCCCTCCCTATGCCCTTGGGGTAAAGTGGGCTTGGAAGGGAGGCCAGCTCACGCCTTTATGAGCAGGGATGGGGTGTAGAGAAGGAAGAAAAGGTCCAGCCAGAGCCTCAGCCCTCACATCCCAGGAGCCAGTGGCTTCAAAGATAAAAGGAGAGGACCCATGCCAGGCTTTAGCCAGTTGGTTCATCTGACAGGTGCACTGTCCAGAGCAAGGCCTGTTTCTGCGGCACCATGATGAGGGGAGTAGAGGCCACACGGCAGAGTGCCTGTGTGACTATCCAGATGCCTGGAGCCTGGCATCCTGTGGTCTTATATGGAGCAGCCTAGAGGCCATGGGAGCAACTGTTGGACACACAGCAGGATACACCGGAACAAGAAAATAGGCTTATCTGTTTCTGCTTGTGTTTGCTTAAGGAAATGTCAGAAAGACTGCGGGATGTCTCTCAGTTGGTAGAGGGCTTCTCTAGCCTGCAGAAAGCCCTGTGCCAGCCTCGTATAAACTGGGCCTGCTGTCACATACCTGTAAGCCCAGTAGAGGCAGAAGGATCCAAAATTCAAAAATTATTCTTAGCTACATAGGGAGTTTGAGGCCAGGTTAGCCTACATGAGAGACTTTCTCTCAAAAATAACAAAAAAGGAAGCTGGCTTGGAGGTTAAGAGCACTGGCTGCTCTTTCAGAGGTACTGAATTCAATTCCCAGCAATCACATGGTGCCTCACAACCATCTGAAATGAGATCTGGTGCCCTCTTCTGGCCTGCAGGCAGAACACTGTATATAAAATAAATAAATAAGCCTTTTTTTTTTTT